AAAAAAAAAACAGTTTGCGATCCAAAAATCAGTATCGCACGCCGTGTAAGAGAGAATTAAGAGAGCGAACGGACGTTGAATAAATTCGCCGGCCGGGCGGTCCACGTAGCCAAAATTAAATCAGTCCCAGAAGCCGGGTGGACTGCGCGAGGTGGACCACCCAGGTGATCGTGAGAGGTCCGCGATATCGTATCGATCTTCGCCGTGACCCGAAGCGCGAGGGTGCGAGACGCAAAGAAGGGAAGAGAGAAAGAGCGAGAGAGAGGAAAAAAAACAAGGCAATTTCCGAAAGGAAACACGTGAAATCGATAGTCACCGGCTTCCCCTCGAGGATTTTACGACTCTCTGCGCGGAAAAGTCACGACCAACGCGATACTCCTGCCCTCCATTCCGGCGAAGCGGCCGAGGATGTAAGGGGCTGGAGAAAACAGCGGAGATAGCGGAGGCGAGATTGGAAAACCGAAATGGCTCGCGTTAAAACTCCCGCGCGGGAATATCGCGATACTACGTGCCTCTCCGAGGCACATTGGTCGATCCCTCGAAGAACGTTAAAGCGAAGAATGTGCGACGTGCTATGTACACGCATTATACGTTGTGTCGTATTGTTACTCGCGCGCACGGCAACTTGCAATTTCTGATGCAGTCGGTTTCTGTTACGGCAATTAGTGAACAAATCACGCGATTCACGTTCACCTGAATTTATCCGGCAATAGCATGCACGTTCCTGTACGTATCGACGTGTATTATGTATTTAACCTTCTGTAAGATAGTTTAGAGACATTTAAACAGTGTGGATATCCTTTTTTAATTTAGCAATATTGTGATTCTCAATGAGATTTCTCGTCTAATAAATACTATTATAACGATATATATAAATCAGGTGTAATGTCAAAAGTCAAAACTATATATCAAAAGTAGTTCCCATGTATAGAAAGAGAACTGGAATTTATATATGAAAATTATGTTTATTTATTCATATAATAATATTGTTATTTTTATTTGATTCTCTCCACATTCTGTTATATATGTAAAATAATATATAAAACAAAAATATATTATATAAAAACTATATACATAAAATAAAAATTTTTTCAAAGTATCTATTTCTTTTTCATAGATTTGTAAAAAATATTAATTAACCAATTAATATAAAATTATTGTTTTTACCTTAGCGAGAAATGTCTCTAAATTATCTTATACAGCTTGCTCTTCGCACATGATTATTTTAGAGTAAAATCAACTTATATATCCTGTTGAACGCACAAGGATGTATAACTAAATGGAAACGAAAACGTTACGTTATAACCGTAAAATGAGAGAGATACAATGTAAAATCCAATTACTGTGTGTGGTGGTTATTTTGAGATTGCAGGAAGAGAAGAACACGCTGTATGTAAGAGCTCGAAGGATACGTCGTGTTAACTGATTGAATGTATTTAAAACGTACTTACGTAATAATTTATATAGTATATAATTAATAAAAAATAAGAAATGTACTCGCAATTGTTCCAAAAATTTTGTCCCCAATAAATAATTAATGTTGGAATCAACTCAGTTATTAGATGAAATAATATTAAAATTGAAGAAAAAATATTATAAAACGTCAAATCAAAGCTATATATCTCTTTTCAAAATTCATATTCTAATCCATCTCACAATTTTTCAAACAACAGTTCTATTCCAAAATTATTCTACACGCGTGTCAGATTTTTTTAATAATAATTTATACCACATCATTATTAATAATATATTGTTTTATCTTAATCGATCTCATCCAACATTATTCGCAACGATATTCAACGCGACGAGAGAACGAATCCCGGAATCTCGAAATCTCCGCATCCGCGGCTCCCGAATCTGTCGAACACGGGTTTATTTATTCGATCCGAGGACGAGGGGCATCGATCGGATCCAGAATCACAATCGCCCGTCGCGAGAAAGAGAGAGAGAGAGAACAACGATATAATGCACATACACACGTTTTAGACTTTAGAGCTCCTGTCTCGCTCTCTCGCGAACTTGATCGTCGCGCCGACCATGTAATTTCGATTCGCTGATTCCGCGAAGCTCGTCAGTAATTGGCCAAATTGGCAATCCTGCCAATCAATCGCTAAATATCAAGGATAGCGCGATCGCTCTCCCGCTCGCTCGCTCGCTCTCGCGCGCATCGGACGCGATCGCTCCTGTCATCCTTTTGCCCGGCAGGCTCAACGTATAAATCCAGTCGAGAGATTTCCGGGAAATAAAAAGGCGGCGGCGACCGACGTCTTACGCAACGCGATTTGTCCCGATATTCGATGCTCGCCCGCCGCCTTTGTTTCGTCCGCCGCGGCCTGTTTCATAAAACTGGATGTGTAGGTTACTTGGAAGATACCAGATACAAAGTGTTGAAAAACGAGTCTATTAAAATATAGATCTCTGATGCAAGAATAAAACAATAGTGCAATATAATATAATGTGAAAAGTATATTATATTATTATAATATAATAATAAAAAGGAATTAGAAAAAGTTTGACACACTGCGAATTGTGTGTAGAAAATTCTTTAAAATAAAGTAGAATTATATAATCCTAATATTCTATATAAATAAATAATATCTTAAAAATAATTAAATCAATAAAGAGAGAGAGAGGGAAAGATATTTTAATAAATAATTTAGTTCGTCTTTGATTTATTCAAACTTTTGATTTCTTTTTCGTTAAATCTAAACAATGAATCACAATCTCTTTTGATAAAAAAATTGAGAGGAATTCCTCCATTTTCAGCAAAACGTTGTGCTTAATTATTCCTATAAAATTTAATTCTAAAAACAGTTATGGAGACAATATACCGTATCCTTTTATTAGGGTTTAGGAATATTAATGGAATATCAATCAAAAGTTCAGTAGAAATTGAAGTAAATCGATAGGTTGATGAAAATTACTGTCTTTGCGTAAATCTATTGAGAAATCGATAAGATTGCTGGTCCTGACACGACATGCGTTGATTTTTAATTTATTTCGATCTCACACGCGGTGGTCCCTCGCTTCGACGAATTTGCAAATTTCGGGAAGGAAACATGCCTGAGGGAAACGCGTTGCGAGGTCTTGAAATTGGACGAATGATGGAATCTGAGACGGTGCTTTTGAAAGGAGAAAAATCTTACGAATGATTCGATTGCGATTTCGTAAAGAGCAACGAGGCCTGCATTTTCGAGAGAAACAAACAGCTAAATTGAGAAACGCGTATTCTAAATATATACTTAATCCGTTGTCGAAACTCTAGCAGGATTAAAATGTTTCGTTTTAGTAAGTGTAGGGATCGCATTAATAAAGAAAATGTACTTGAAAATAACTAAAATAATACAAATTTTTTTATTTAAAAATAGATAATTTGCTAAACATATTGGTCTTGTTATAATTTATTTTATTTTATTTAGAAAGAAAAATAAATAATTTATGATTCGATCGCTTGTGCAGTTTAAAGAAATCATATATTTATCGAAGTTGAAAACGATCAAGGTCGCCAAAAAATTGACTATATCCAAATTATATAAAAATTATGAAAATTAAAAAAAGACTTACTCGACAAAAAAACATCGAAAAAAATGTAATTTAAATGTAAATATATGAAAAAAAAAAGAATTATTCGAATATGTTAACTCAATGTTGTGAGAAAAAGGAACAAAGATAAATAGTTTTGCCACATGATTTCGCAACTGCATTCTTCTCCTTAACATTCTCAATGCCAACAACGTCTCGCTTTCAGCGAATACGATCGGACGGTCAGTCAAGTTGATCGGTCTCTCTCAGTTGAATATCACGTTTCCTCATTTAACGGAACAATGGTTTAATATAAACACATTTAGCACACTGCAAAAAAGCAATATTCTCTTCCTTCTCACGCGAATTTGCCAGTTTTTGTCGCCTAATAATTATAGGACTCGCGGACCTCGGCCTATGCAGTCGGTTTTCGAGAATCGCGTTTTTTCACTGTGGTCAACAGTACCGCTGACACAATGTAGAAGTCATCAATAACGTTGAACGGTTTGACGTTTTTCATACTGGCTACATGTAAAAAAAAAATAGCCGCGAGAAATCGCCAATCACGCAGACTATGTTGCGCAGATCGATGACTTGCACGATGCAGATAAAGTCATAACGCGCAACAGAGAGCAATTTCGCTCTTGTTTTTCAAATAGCTAGTATCCACGCGATCATCACAATATACAAATGACCTGGCAAAATCTCATAAATATTAACAAGAATCATATGATTCTCGTCATCGAAACTATCGTGATATCCACAAAATTTATGATCGTAATTAATGCAGTTAATAATTGAAATACGTATGTAGAACAATTGATATTAATTTATAATGTATATGTCATACCCAGGAATTCTCGAATAAATTCGGAATAAAGATAATTTATTTAGTGTCTCTCTCGATTCATATCATCTCTACTCGTAAGGAATTAATTCGAGGAATGTTATTGCAGTTTTATTAAACGTCCCTGGTAAAATTTTTCTAAAATAAAATATAAATTTTGTTCTAGTACAAAATGTTAATTCACATATTTCCTTCTTCCTTCTATTAATATAAACAAGGTTCATATTTTAATATCAGTGTTAACAATGTAAAATTGTATCGCTAAATATAAATATAAATTTAAATTTAAAAGATCGCAGAGAAAAATATTTTATAGCAATATTTTTCCTATTCTCTCCCGAGCTGAATTAAGCAATTAAAATGGAAATAATTTTGATTCCAATCTCTGGTATTTTTCTATTTCGAAATTGACGTAAAATTTTATAGAAAAGTATGTTTTTCTCGTTTCGGAACTGAATCAGAATTTTAATTACTGGTACTGATGCTGTCACATACAGCTTAACACTCTACAACGATTTATCATCAAGAATTCGTATTTGCTATAATTGATCGTAATACATTAAAAATAATATAATCTAATCGTTTTAAAAATCAATAATTTCGATAATATATATTATGAAACATTACGTACCAATTTGACTCATTTGTCTCTTCGTTTACTAGCGCGAAAGACATTTTCCAACCCGATCAAATACTCTTATTGGTTTTTGCGATGTCGACAGCTGATCGGGATGACGTATCGGGACGCTCCAGCGTGGAGAGCAATGTCGCGAGCGCGCAATAAGTTTACGCACCTCACCGTTAATAAAACCGTCGATGTATCGGGACGAGAAACAAACGAAAGGGAGAAACGGTTTACGGGGCGATCAAAAAATGAGGGTTGCGTCGCGAGTCACGTCTGAGCACGGACTGGCGTGCTCGGCCCTCGGCGTGCGACCACCCTCGCTCGACCCTGTATTATCGAATGCTCTCTGGCTGCACACACCTGCCGGCATTTCGATATACCTATGTATATCCGTCTGTATCCACAGATACCGGATACACGCTCGTAAAAGTACGCACTGATTCGCGGGATCGAACGTTCAAATTCGATCATTCTATGAAATTCTGCATCTATATTATATCTATATTATATTCTGCATCATATATTAAAATGTTTTTTTTTTTAATTGTTATTTTGTCTTTATAATTTCTTTTATACTGTTATTATTACAAATTTTTTTTATTTTAGCTTTACACGTTAATAGTATAAAAAAAAAATGCCTCTCTTGTATAAACTTATTAATTAATTTATTATTATTTGTGGCGGCAAAAAAGAAACATTGTAAACTTTCGTTAAGAGTTTCAATATTATTCGCGAGAATGATCGACGAGGGCACATCGAGGATTCGCCACGTTTTGCGATATTTCAATTGAGAAATTGTCACCCGCGTCAAACGGTATTCGTATCAGTTCCGTGTCCGTCGACCGTAAAACGTAGCCGCGACATCACGAAACTCGACCGACTTTACGGCTCCCCCTCTCACGCGACAACGGGATAATAATTATTACAATTAGGGATGCGCACACAGGATGGTGAACCGGGGTCGCGCGCGCGTTTGCAGCGGACGCTGTAAACTTTCAGCAATAATTTACAGGGCTTTTAGCGACTTGGCAGGAAGCAACCCGCGCGCTACCCCGAGACTTACGAAGCTCGGGCTTTTCCCAAATTGCACGGCTCGTCGCATGATAGTCCTTTAACATCCCGGAATTAACTTTACATTATTTACGGCATTGTGATTTTTGTTCATCAACGAGACCGTCCGACGTCTCGAAAGTCTTTCTCTTTCTTTCTCTATATCATTGCAGAAGAGTCAAATGCGACAATACATAAATAATACGCAATAAAATTTCAAGTATGCGCGGCATGAGGCTTGAAAATGCAAGAGTCAATTATTATAATTTTCGATTTAAATAGATGGCATTTTTATCTGATTATTTTTTAGCCATAAATAAATTTCCAAGAGAAAAAAAACGTTATTTTAAAAAGATGTAAAGAATACAAATATGCGTGTATCGTATCATGTGAATGATTTAAAACATTTATTTAAATACTATTTTATTGCGCACTGATATATATTTTTTATCTCAAAATCAGATAAATTAAATATACTATTGCAAAAATGAGCAATACAAACTCTTGATATAATAAATAATAAATTAACAAAATCGTAACGTACTCACCTCCATGATTGCTCGATGCCGCTCCTTATCTGCTCCTTTTCTCTCTCTCTCTCTCTCTCTCTCTCTCTCTCTCTGTCCTTCGCTGCTGCATGATACTCGCACTCACATTCACTCGCGAAAATCTTAGAACATATATACGTATACTAAAAAGGCCATATAATCGATCTGAGCCGTGAGCAGAATTTATCTCTAACATCTATCTATCTTTATCTGTCCGAAATTATCTGGGCTTGCGCGAGACGACAACGAGCGACATGAAACTATCTCTCTTTAAAAATCGTTTTTTTACTCTATTAAATTTACGATTGACGCATGTGCGTATCACAGTAAGCAGGCAGACAAAACAAATACATGTTGAGGACAACAAAAATCAGCCTTATATAATATATATATATATATATATATATATATATATATATATATATATATATATATATATATATATATATATATATATATATATATATATATATATATATATATATATATATATATATATATATATATATATATATATATATATATATATATATATATATATATATATATATATATATATATTATATAAGGCTGATTTTTGTTGTCCTCAACATGTATTTGTTTTGTTTGCCTGCTTACTGTGATACGCACATGCGTCAATCGTAAATTTAATAGAGTAAAAAAACGATTTTTAAAGAGAGATAGTTTCATGTCGCTCGTTGTCGTCTCGCGCAAGCCCAGATAATTTCGGACAGATAAAGATAGATAGATGTTAGAGATAAATTCTGCTCACGGCTCAGATCGATTATATGGCCTTTTTAGTATATATATATATTCTAAGGTATTAATTACGATCGCGCGCGTAGTAATATAACCGGAATGTAACAATCGCTCGACATTTTCCGTAGCACTCCCGACGTTAACCGACGAAACAACGCACACTGTTTTATATCGCGAAACTTTCACTACTTCTCATAATTAATCGCAATCGTATTAATCGTAGAGAATCGTAATGCTTCGTAGTTTCTAGTACTCGTCGCGAGCGTGGTTCGAGAGATAATACAAGGACACACAGAGCGTCTCGCGTTTTTACGTACCTTCCCGTCGAGTCTCTTGAAGATGACAACAAGACCACGGCGTATAAACAGCGCGCGCTGGCAACGAGACTACCGCGTATAAACAACACGCTACGTACATCGAAAGAATTTATGTTTGTATATATACTATTGTTATACGATACGTATTATATCTCGAAGTAGCTCTCGAGTGCTGAAAAATATCAAGTGCGATGATTCCTTACAATTGAGTACGTATAATGAGAGATAGTAAAACTGTCGTATGAAACGCGTGAATATATTCGTGAGTAATAGAGAAAGCATATATTGTGTGAACTTGGTCGCGCGATTTTTCACCGCGGAACAGATCGGCTAACTTCGTATAACCGTAACGTTCGCGTTCTTCCGTCGCGATACAGTAGTACCAATCGTAGAGAGATCGTCATGCTTCGTAGTTTGTCGCACTCATAGACATAGTAATAGTATATCTAGACCGAGTGTTGAAGAGTGAGGGCCAAGGTGTACGTAGAAAAGGACATACTCTGTTTCGTGCCCCTTGCGTTCTCTCTCACTCGCATGTAGCGTAGCGGAAGAGTACTCTATGCTACGTGCGAGCGAGAGAGAACGCAAGGGGCACGAAACAGAGTATGTCCTTTTCTACGTACATCTTTACCCCCACTCTTTAAATAAAGGCAAACGCTCGGTCTAGATATACCATGTCTATGGTCGCACTTGTCGCGTGCGTGATTCGAGAGATAATACAAGGACACAGAGAGCGCCTCGCGTCTTTTACGTACCTTCCCCGTCGAGTCTTGTCTCCAAAATGACAACAAGACTACGGCGTATAAACATAAACAACAGCGCGCGCTGGCAACGAGCCTTACCGAGTGTAAACAACAGCGCGCTGTGTACGTCGAAAAAATGTACGTGTGTATATACTACTGCTATATGATAGGTATTATCTCTCGAAATACGATAGCGACGAGTGCTAGAAAATATCAAGTGCGATTATTCCTTACAATTGAGTATAATTATATATAATGAGAGATAGTAAAACTGTCGTATAAAATATGTGCATATATATATATATATATTGTAAGTAACAGAGAAAGCATTATGTGAATTTGGTCGCGTGATTTTTGAACGCGAAACGGATGGCTAACTTCGTATAACCGTCATTTCCATACTTCGTATAACTGTAATTCTCGCGTTCTTCCGTTGCGATATAAAATATAAAGTGCGCGTTAGGTTAAATCGCGTAGATTTGTGTGCATAATTGACATCGTTTTTACGAGTGAGTGTCGTGTAAATGCCATGAGAAAACGACAAGGGAAAAATAAAGGAAAAGCAGATAAGACGAGGTATCGAGAGCGACAAGGAGGAGCAATCATGAGGGTGAGCAGGTTATAATTTTGTTAATTTATTATTTGATATTAATTAGTCACTTGTCTCTGCGATGGTAACTGAATTTATATTATTTTGGGATATAAAAATTTAAAGCTCACGAATCATAGACATTTAGACAATCGCCTATCCCTGAGTAGCGGACGATAATATTATATGTACGATAATATTATAGTGATTGCACGTATTTCGAAATCTTTATAAAACTTGGCATTTCCACCGCGAAAAATTTAGATGTATGGCACAATTAAATGTTAATTTATTGCTCGAATCTCGGGAATTTATTGCTCACAAAATAAGTTGAACAAATAATAGAAAACACTCCAAGAATAAATTATATTAATGCAATTAATTGTTCTTTTTTTGTTATTAAAACATTTTTTGATTTATTTGTTTTCGAGATATTACTTGTGCTGCGAATTTATTTCTTAAATTCAAAAAACAATCAAAAAATTCATTTAAATTAAAAAAAAACAATCAAAAAATTTATTTCAATTTAAAAAAACAATCAAAAAATTCATTTAAATTAAAAAAAACAATCAAAAAATAGGGAAGATATGCTTCATCGTGTTATACAAAAATAAAGTTTATTAAAAAATTAATTTTTTTATGTTCTGGTATTAATATGTTTTTTGAATCAATTAATTCGGGAGAGCAATTAATTCAAGAAATCTATGGCAGATAAATTAACTGTATTTTATGTGCACACAAATTGGATCTTAAAATAATTTTATTTTCAATGGATTAAAATAAAAAAAATTATACATTATTATTTTTAAATAGTAATTTTGTGTTTAAAAAACAAATTATTGTGTTTATTATTAAATTAATTATTAAAGCATTTTTCCAATCTCAAAATATCTTCCAAAAATAAACTTTATGCCTATCTTATAGCTATCGTATATAATTGATAATTATTATTATATTATTTAAAGTTCAAAACAAAAAATAATTATTAAAAATTATCTAAAGTTTAATATTCCACAAAATTCATAGAAAATTGTTAAAACTCATCAAAGATTTTCAAAAATTGTCAAAACTTAAAAATTACAAAACAAAATTTATAAAAAACTGAATCGATAATAAATCGTCGGAAACATATATATCGAGGAATTAATTTATTTATATTCCTCTCTCTCAGATCGATATATTAAGATAATATGCTGATTACATCATTAACTATGAGATATTTTAAGTATTATTTTGTGTTGATACATTTAGTTAAATTCTAACAATAAGATAAG